TGGGCTGGTCACATTCTCTACCACTCAGTCTTCTGGGTCAAGTTAATGTGGCTACAGAGGTCATGGGGAACTGCTTGGTCATGGACGGAATGAACAGGTATAGTATGGGGGGACAGGAATTTCCCCTTATTCCTCTTAACTCTATTCCAGGATGATAAACTCACACAAGGTTGTCTCGATTTCAAAACTCCATCAAACATTTTCTGTGCTCTAGACACTGTACTGAAAGCTGGAGGTTTGGAAACAAAAAAAGCAATAGAGGCATCACTGAACTGAATGCATACGCCAATTACTTCAAAATTACAAGGAGTGAAAATACTGCTGGGCTGAGAATGCCACTATACAGTCAATTGAGCCCAATATACACGAGATACACTGTGTTGGTAACAGACACTCATTATTAGTACTTATAGAAAGTAAGTGGTAAACAATAGGAATAGATTTTAGATGAATGGATCTGAGAGCTGGACGATGAATAAGGATTACAGAAAAACTGATGCCTTCAAATTGTGTTGGAGAAGAATACTGACTGCCAAAAGAACAAACAGATAGGTCTTGGAGAGAGTACAGCCAGAGAACTCCTTAGAGGAAAAGATAGTAAAGCTTCATCTCACATGTCGCTAAAGGAGGTTATTCTTTGGGAAGGAACATCATTCTTGGAAAGGTGGAGAGGTGGTGAAGGAAAGGAGGACCCTCAGCCAGGTGGACTGACACAGTGAATTCAGCAACGGGCTTGAATGTGTCAGAGATTGTGAGGATGGCACAGGATATGACATGGTTCATTAAGATCCATTGTCAATAGGGTCACTATGAGTCGTATTCAACTTGATGGCACCTAACCACAACAACCCTTTCTACTCTACTCAGCACCAGAGAGGCAGGACCCAAGTGGGTCTAAAAGGGGATCTGCTCACCTTCTGAAATAACTCGTGTAAAATTCCAAATCCAGGGCCAGAAAGGCCACATAAGAGAAAAACCATTGCACTACAGCAGGTTAGAAGACCTTGGGACCTTGGGCTCAGTCATGATCCAAACAGGCATTCAGATCCTAACTCTGCTACTGCTAATTAGTGGCTCTGGGAAACTCAGAGGGCAGATCCCCAACTGCAAAGTGAGGGATAATAAAATTGTACTTGCTAGTTGCTGGTAAGGATTAAAATATAGACCATATAAGTCAAGAATCTGGAAAATGCCTGCTATCATGAGACAGCGTTTTGACCAGATAGGAAGCTAGAGGAAGTCTCTTAAGGAAACAGGCTTAACTGGCAAACACTGATTTGACCTTTGTCCTTCCCTTTTCTCCCACTCAGGATACAAATAAGATGCTGGAGAGACCTCTACTGTCATTTGACAGCTGAGCAGCATCATTGCTGAAGTCACTGGGGTCCAAGTCAGGCAGGCCAAGATGACTTCTTGTTTTATGAGAAAAAGAAAATCTCTATATTATTCCTGTATTGTTTCTTGTAGCTTGACCTCACTGCCAACTTATTCCAAGAGGCTGTCCACCATGGGCTATCTCACGAGGCAGGAAGAACATCCTCCAGCTAAGGGTGGAGCTTAGCTGGAGGTGAAATCTTGGAGATTGAACAGCTGAATCTGAAGAAGTCCATACAGCCCTTACTTCATTAATCCATGCACTCATTCCTGAAACATTTGTTCAGTTAAGTCTGTTAAGTGGAGCCTGTGAATGTGCAGATGAATAGGATAAGGTCTTTCCTCTCAAGAAACTCCCAGGTAAACAGGAAATGAGCTCAAGTACAAAACAGTGGAGAAGGGCTGTCCAACGGGTATGTGACGGTAGAGCACAGATGAACCTTATAGCTGCAAGTCACGGAATTCCAACAAGTAAAAGCTTAGGTCAATAGCTCATGGATTCACTTAATCAAAAAGGATGGCAGAGGGGGAAAGTAAACAGAAAGACAAGGAGGTGAGAAACATACAGACTATGTGAAAAGCCATAAGAGTTGATACAGCTGGGACACAAGGCATAGCTTGGGGAGAAAAGGAGCCCCTGGCTCATGTGATAGAGTACCCCGCTAGGAAGGGCCCTGCAAGAGAGGACCTTGAGTTCCAGGCCAAGGCATCTGAAGTTGCCCATAGTGATGAGTACTGTGGCAGGGAAGGTTGTTGAGCTAAGGAATATTGTGGTGCCATTTGGGAAATAGATGGATCGTGCTGATATGGGGGATGGACTACAGAAAGGCAGGAAGACTGTAGGCAGAGACTCCCATTAGGAAGTGTTTGCAATGATACACATGAGATCATGGTGTACCGAATGTAGGTAGCACCACGAAGGTGGCCAAATGGGACTGTTGTCAGGAATCAAAATTGGCAAATTATAATTGATTGGAAGTGGATGATGGTAGGAGGAAGTGTGAAGAATGACTCCCTCATTTCTGGAGGAGGCAACTGGGTGGGGGGTGGTGCCATTGACTGGGATGAGAGATACAGGAAGTTCAGGGGGTAGGTGGGGATGATAAATTCACATTGAGTTTGAAAGGTGTGTGGGATGTCTCAATGGAGATGGCAGAAGGTGGCTGGACATTTGGTCGGGAACTCCAAATAGAAGCCTAATCTGGAGAGAGAAATGCAGAAGCCGTCAATATCCAGGAGGACATCAACTGTGAGAACCATGAGAGTGGATGAGATACCCCAAGGGATTATTTAAGGCATAAATTCTTAACAAGATAACTAACCATGGCAGAGCAAAGTTTCTTAGGGTAGTGATCTGAATCAAAGGAGGCTTTCTTGAAAGTATACTGCCCTCATTCCTTGAATTCCAGTAAGTCTTCTAGGGAATGTCACCAAGGAAAACATTGTTGCAAAAGAGAAGGTGACCTGGAGTATGAAGAAATTGGAGATGACTGGCAAGAAGAAAAGAGGGTCAGTGTAGGCACAAAGAGCAAGGAAGATGTCAGGGAGGCCAAAGAGAAAGAGAGATTTGAGGAGGTCCAGCAGAGGTAGGTGTCACAGGTATGGGAATGGAATGATAATTCTCAACTCTTAGCGTACCCAAGGGGAGCCCTTCAAATATACAGATTCCTGCCCCTCACCATTCTGGTTCAGTGAGGCCCTGGAATCAGTATTTTAAAGAGTCCTGCAGAAACTACCTCTTGACTAGAGAATTTTAGGAAGATAAATATAATGAACTCACTCAAACTTGGCAGAAGGAATGGGCCCAGGAAGATGAAGACTGAAAGGGTCTAGCAGAGTCTGTTCTTCGGGAGGTCACCCGTAACCATGGGAGAGGGAATTTCGGTGGTGTCGTGGGAGTCGAAACCAGATTGCAGTGGGCTGAGGAGTGAATGGAAAGTGAGAAAAGAAGACAGCCAATGCGTACCCCTTTTGGGAGAAGTTTGGATGAGAGGCGGAGGCGAGAGCTTCAGCCCCCTCAAAGTCCACCTTTCTTCTCCTGGAGAAAGTTGGCAAAGAAAATTAAGAAAGTCTGGGGGCTGCATCAGACATTCCATGCACCCTTCAGGGAGGCAAGTTGGAAATCACCTAGCATATCTCAAGCTGCCAAATTTCAAAACCAAGCACATTCTGCCTACCTTGTGCCAACCTACTAAGTCCAGTCCACTCTCATTATCAGTGGAGTGGTCTTTCCATTCCCAAATCTGATCCTATTACTGCCCAAGTTATGGTGTTGTTGCTAAATGCTCCAATACCTACCTTTTCCTACCCTCACCCTGCACAGCCACCCAAACTTCTGAACTTGGCATTCAACTCTCTGCTGACTCTTTCAGCCCCTGTTACTCTCTACATCTTCATCCTCATCACCTTCTGCCTGCTCCACACTCACCCTCCAACCAGGCCTCATAGAACGACTAACAAGTTCCCATGGACTCTTCAGTCCCATTCTTCATTAACCTTGTTGGTCCTTTTCTACACAGCCAACTCATGTATGGTTTCCTCCGTAATCAGTTACTCCCCAGTAAGTAGTTATCCCTCCTTGGAGAGAACCACCAGCACCTTGCCCATAGACCATTGCCACAATATTGGTAGAACGAACGATTCCTGAGTCTATTTGCTATGCACTGTCCTCAGACTGGGATCAAGATCATTGCCTTACTCTTCTCTGATCAGTGCCTCTTGGTCAGGGCGGTGCTCTCAGATGGTACCAGGAAAGGAGACAGTGACACTTCACCCATAGTTCTTAGCACCAAAAGTTAAAGAATTAAGTAATGCAATACTCCACTGACTCTTTGCTCCACTAGCCACATTACAGAATCTGTGCTTCTTTCCCATCTCTTTCCTCCCTCTCCCTCCAGTTGTGGTAATACTTTCAGATTGATCTTCCCTCTCAAGGGGAGGTAAAGGCAGGCTCTGGACAATGATCTCTATGAGTTAGAGAATATGAACGTCTTCTAGGGTTAGGAGAACCTATGAGGGTGTGCTGTAGTGGAAAGAGCACCTGCGTTCCTTGTTCAGGGACTTAAATTCCTCCCATGAGACAAAACCTAAGGGCTCAGGAGGAGCAACAGACCAACTCCTAACTCCAATTCAGGGAGTTATATTTCTATTTATTGTAGTTATTATTTATTATATTTTAATAATTCCTTGAACATTTGTTGTGCTGTAGAGCTGCACTGACAGCTGGAGATTCGGAAATGAACGAGCAACAAGATACAATAATACATTTTTTAACAATAACAGATGTTTTGGAGACACTAATAAAGCATCTTAGTGCCCATGACACCAAACTAAAGTTGGGGTTTTTTTTTTTTAAATTTTCAATTACTGAAGGAAGTTCCCAACGCAACACTGTTTCTCGAAGTTTTCGTCTCTAAAAAATGAGAACTTCAATACTCTCCAGGCTCCTCAGGCACACTTCGGACGACTATAAGTGAAGCCCCGCCTCCCTAGCGTCTAGGCCACGCCCCCCTCCCCGCGTGCAAACTTCTGCGTTTTAGGGCCCTTCAGTGATGATTGACACTTGTATTCACCAGTAAGAAGTGAGGTTTTCGTCAATGTCCGGTAGGTGGGCAGGACTTCCTGGCTGGTTGCTAAGACACTCTTGTTTCGCTCCTTGACAACCCTGGCGGGGGTGCTCAGGCTGCGGCCCCGGCTCCGGCCCCCGTGGGAGCAGGTGAGGCCCCGGGGCGCGGCGGGGAGCCGGGCGGGGAGGACCGGCCCGGAGGGAGGGCGGGAGACTGCGGAGCCGACCGAGCCTTCGCTGAGGCCCTTCTTCCGTCTCCGCCTGCCGTACCCCAGCCCCCTCTATCCCTTGGGGGAATCTGCGCGCTCGTTGGTGACATTTTTCCAAATCGCAACTCTGCGAGTCACTTCTCCCCCACCCCGAGACCCCGTCCAGCTTCGCGCTTCCTCGTCCTTTCTGACCAGGCTTCTCCCCGCCACCAGCACCGTGATTTCCCCCCTTTTTTCGCGGGATAACCTCCACTAACCACTCCGCGCTCGCCCCTGCGGCCGGGCTGTTTGGCTTGGAGAGTTTGCAGCTGAGATCCCAAACTCGTCGTTTCCCTCTTTTGGGCCTCAGTTGCCCTCTCTATAAACAAAAAGTTGATCGATTTCAGCGACCGCTTCGGCTCAGACATAGAATGTTTTGGTTCTTTGAATCAACTGTAGGCTTCCCCGAGGGAGGGATCGCGTGCAGGGTCAAAAGAGCTTGTTGGCAAACCTAACTTGGATCCCCAGTTGGGGAACCCCCCAGGCAAAAGATCCAGCTCCTCGGGGCTCGTGTGTGTGTGTGTGTGTGTGTGTGTGTGTGTGTGTAATGAGAATTCTATGACGTACGTCCTTGGAGGCTTTGAGGTTAGTATGAATTCAGTTTTGAAGGCCAGGCCAGTGTAAATGCACATTAGGTGCAGAAATTTTGGTGTCTTTCCTCTGTCCATATTCTCGCCTCTAGGAAACATTTCAGCCCCCTTAGCGTCAGCTATCGTCTCTCCAATTGAACTTAACTCTGTCTCCATGCCTGATCTTCCCCCTGAACTTCTTGGATAGGGATGTTTTGCTTTAACCCACACGAGGCTGGAAAGGTAGAGAGTGATGTATTGATGTGACAGTTGGTCTCTCCTTTACTCTGACTTGTGCATTTTGAGACACAAGAAACAGCTGAAAGAAAAACTGAAGTAGCTATTGAAAACATGAATGAGATGCTTCTAAATGATTGTAAAGTATATGTTGGACAATTTAAGTCTCCTAAAGAACAGGAAACAGAGCTCAGAGCTAGGACAAGAGAGCTCACCAATGTTTACATCTAATATTTTGAATTTTCTATAAGAATTTTAGCAAACTTCTTCTGGCATTATTAGTGTGGACCTGGTACCTCTTCTGTGATGCACAACTGAGGTGTCTCTAGTACTTGCCATGGCTGAAGAAAAATGCAAGGAAAGAGTCAAAACTGAGAATAATGATTGTATTAATTTGAAGGTGGCAGGACAGAATGGTTCTGTGGTTCAGTTTAAGATTGAAGAGACAGACACCACTTAGTAAACTAGTGAAAGCCTATTGTGAACAGCAGGGTTTGTTAGTGAGGCAGATCAGATTGTGATTTGATGGGCGCTTGATCAGTAAAACAGATATCTGTGTACAGATACCTGCACACATGGAGCGGTAGATGACGATACAGTTGACGGTCCAGCAGCAGTGGGAGGTGGCTCCTGGGGGGAAGAAGGTGGAGGGAGGATCCTGCTGTTCTACCCCAGAACTGTTCCTTCAGACCAAGAATACATTCTCAACTGGAAAAACCACAACTTGGTTCTACCACTCCTGACTACTATAGTCTAGTTTTCTCTATCATTTCTCCTTCCCTATTATTTTATAATAGAAAACTCTGTCTGACATACTTTGGACACGGTACAAGAAGAGACCAGTCCTTGGAGGGAGATGTCATGCTTAGGAGGGTGGAGGGACAGCGCAAGAGAGGAAGACCCTCGATTAGATGGATTGATTCAGTGACTGGGGTAAATGAGGGTCGATGTGTCAGAGACAATAAGATTGGCACAGGATAGAGCAAGGTTTAGGGCTGTTGTACATAGGGTTGCTATGAGTTGCAGGCAAATCTATGGCACATAACAACAAAGTAATGGTACATATGCACATGCATATTGCATTTAAAAAACTAAATAACCAATGGTAAGATTTGATCAACATGAAGTAGAGATGGAATAAAGGGGGGGGAAATGCCATTCTGTGAAAATACTCCCTTTGTCCACTCATCCAGCTCTTACCTGCATATTCCAATAAGTTCGCTTGCTCTTAGTGTTTACAAAAAAACTGACATTACAGAAACTCTTAGGGAGGAAAAAAAACCCTCTTACATATACCTTGTTTTACTGTTAATGTTTTTCATTTATTACTGTGAAACCAAGCACAATTTTGTAACCTTTTTGTATGTAACTATTATCTATAGGGCAATGTGTCCTTAAGTAGGGGTGAAGTACTCTCAAAGAAATAAATCCTAGATACTTTCCCTTCAAGTTAAGTCTTATTATTTGAATAAATTTCTTGTCTAAAATGGAAAACAAACTTGGAAGCAGGAATGACATCCACTTCCGAAATAGCTTACCTCTGGAAACCCTATGAACCTGGAGAAAGAGTGAAAGTTAAACAAGTGTTCAGGTCTTTTGTTCATCTACGACTTGATGACACTTAACAACAACAACAGCAAAGAAAGAGCTCAGTTGGCTAGTGGACAGTAACGCTACCAAGGCAAAGGTGGGTGATTTTAGTCTGCGGCCTTCAGGCCTGTTTTAATTGTTTTTGGTAAAACGTTCTTCTAAGTGGTATAGCACTGGTCTGTCCATTTGCTGTACAGAGGTAACTCGTGGTTGCTGTGCTGCTGAACACTGTGACACTGATGTGATAAATGCAATAATGGTTACCCAGGGTAGATAGTGTTTGGTGGAGCTTCCTGATTAAAATAAGATTGGAAGCAGGAGAGGCATCCACTTCTGAAATAGCTTGTGTCCATAAAACCTTATGGACTTGGAGAAATGAATAAAGTTATACAAGTATTCAGATCTTTCATTCATAAGGTCACTATGAGTTGTCTACAACTTGATGGCACTTAACAAAAACAACAAAATGGAAAAATAAACTGGAGAAGACACAGATGAAGAGCACCTTAAGGATCTCTTTGGCAAGTTTGGATCTGCCTTATGTATGAAAGAAATGACTAATAAAAGTAGAAAGTCCAAAGGGTTTGGATTTGTGAGCTTTGAGAGGCGTGAAGATGCACAAAAGGCTCTTGATGAGGTGAATGGAAAGGGGCACAGTGGAAACAGATTTATGTCAGACAGACTCAGGAAAAAGTGAAACGGTCCATGGAACAAACTCACAATTTTGAGCAGGTGAAACAAGATAGGATCACCAGGTGCCAGCATGTTAACATATGTGTGAAAAACCTTGATGAAGGAGTTGATGATGACTGTCTGCGAAGAGTGGTCTCCATTTGCCACAATCACTCCTGCAAAGGTTATGATGGTGGGTGGGCAACAGAGGGTTTGGTTTTCCATGTTTCACCTCCCCAGAAGAAGCTGTTAAAGCAGTTATAGAATGAAAATTTTACCCTGATAAGCCACCCTTTTATCCCAAATTACTAGATATCTCATTTGTATATCTCATCCACAATTTAAACATAGTTGTTTAAATTGTTAAATCAAACTGGCTTGCTCATCAGTCCTTTGAGCCTTCCCCATCTCCCTCAGTAGTACCTCTTTCAGTGACACCATGCGTGGTGTCATCCATCCTTGGCCAAGCCCATCCTCCTTGGGTAGTTGCTAACTTGTGTAGCTTTGCCTCTGTAAAACCTTGTCTCCTCTATTCCTGAACCAGTTCATGTCTTTAATGCCTATCACAGGCATTGAAGACCTGTTACTATGCCATCTTAACTGGTGTTTGTACCTTCCAGCTCTCCAGTCCAGTCCACCAGAATAATTCCCCTAAAGCATATCTATTTCACCAACCACCAAGAGATCTCCAAAGGATTTCCTATCCCCTCTTCCAAAGAGCCACACTTTGTAGACCTGGTGCCCTTCTGCACTTCCCAACCCAGCCCCCTGCCTTAGTGCTCCCTTTCCTCCCCCAAATTCTGGCCTCCAGCCAAATCAGTGTTGAACTTTGCCAGAAAATGCTTCGAGCTCCTTCCTTACAACAGTGTGTGTGTTCATCTCTGTGCCTGGAAGGTCCATCACCGTGCACACCTGTCAGGACCCCCTCCGGTCTTTCAATGGCCTAACTCAAATTCTCTTCTCTTGCTTTGCTAGAATTTTGTTCTTTCATCTGTCTCACTCACTTATTGCTGTGGAGTCAGAACCGAGTCATAACTGACCCTCCAGCAGGTTTTTGGGAAGTTGTAACTCACACAGGAAGAGATTGCCAGTCTTTCTTCTGTGGAACTGTGGTGGATTTGGACTAACAGATGCTGCCTTTGGGTTGGCAGTGCAGCTGTCTGTGGACTGTGCAACCAGAGCTCGCTTTCATCTGTGTCTGTACAGTAACATGTAACCCTTTCTGCCCTTACCAGTCCATGTATATGTGTGTATGTACGTAGGTATAGGTTGATCTTCCTTATTATAAAGTCCTGGAAGTCAGAACGCCCTCTTACTTGTGTTGGAGTAGTTGGGAAGAGCATGACCTTTGAAATCATATCACTGGGGTTGAATCCTGGCACTTCTTACAAGCAGGGTGGAAAGTCACTCTTCTTTTCTCAGCCTGGGTGGCCCTCAGTTTGAAGGGGTGATTGTGCCTGTCCAGCAGCATTACTGGAGAAAATAAATGGCATCTAGAGGTAAACCATGCTCACTTCAGCAACATATATACTAAAATTGGAATCATAAAATTGGAATTAGGAGAGCCCCTGCACAAGGATGACATGCAAATTTGTGAAACGATCGTCCATAGTTTTCTTAGGGGTAGAGCACATGTGTTGGTTTCTTGTATTGGGAGAGCGATTTGCATGTTGCTGCTCTTAACAGCTTAGGTATGTGTATGCTTGCTTGTTTATCTTCTGCTGTTGTGGAAACAGCACTTGTCTGTCAGTTGCAGTACTGACATGGAGTTCCCAGATTAAGACAGACTAGAAAGAAGGATCGACCAGCCACTTTTGAAAAACAGGCTATTGAA